TTTAATGAATAGAGGGATTTATTGAAAGACCCGGGGCACAACAACAAAACTGCCGAATTCTTAAGCAACGAGAGCATACATTGGCACTTCATGCCACCCCACTCACCCCATTTTTGCGGACTGTAGGAAAGTGCGGTCAAATCTGTTAAACACCACATCAAACGTGTAATCGGTGATCAGAGATTGACGTATGAGCAATTATACACATTTCTGACGCAAGTAGAATCATGCTTCAATTTCCGTACTTTATCCCCCTTTCCGATGACCCTGTTACGTACACAGACTAGCCGACACGGCGGCGCCGAGACATCCGCCTAGAGCTCATCCCCATGAGATAAAGTAAACGAACGCGCTTCGTTCTCATGGGAAAATTAGGGCTCCCACCACCCAAAAAATACAGATTTTTGGGTATATAAGGGCATGATTTTCGAGGCTCAGGGGCAGTCACAGTTCAGAGTTACCCTGAACTTTAAAGTACAGCAGTATCTGTATAGTCGCCGTTTGACACAAGCAAGATCAGGCTCAATTCCCTTTCAAGCAACCAAGTATAATACTAAACTCGTAAGTGTCAAATAGACATACTTGTCTACGACGTCCCCGCGTACTCACCGTGTAAAGTGAGAAGGAAGATTCTTGCTCAGCCAAGAATCAACCATTTTAATTCATATTTAAACCATTGTAATTGTCTGCGCAGCGGTTTATGGCACGGACGTGCCGAAACGGTTATTTTTGAGAATGGGACTTTGATAATTGGCAGCATGTAATTTTAGTAAAAATTACGTCCCGGCGAGAGAAAGTTGGGTTTACAACCCTCTGGCCTCTAAGGCGCTTTCCCTCGTCCTCAATAACCTAGCCGTGCCATAAAAAATGGGTCTTCCGAAGGAGTGAGTCACGAGTCAGCGTGTAACGGTCAAGGGACCGCGGTGACGAACTCGGAGGAATTCCCGCGCTGTTGCCAGACACTCGTCAATTTGACAAAGGACATCGCCACCCCCTCTCTAAGGAAACGCGCGTTAAGGGCGCAAGAGAAGGGTGTCGCGATGCATCTTCTACACGCCGACATGGTGTTTTCGAGAAGCAGGAAAACAGCCAATCGGAAGAAATTAGTATTAGCAGCGGCAAGTCGACGAGCGTCATCGATTTGCGAAGCCAGTTATATCTGAGCAACGATAGAGCGAAGTCCTAACTCTGCAAGCCCAGCAAACAGGCTTGGCCCCCAGAAACAATACAGTCTCAGAAAAGTAGAAAATCTTCTGGGTGGTCCTTCGAGTTATTGTAGACGGCACATTAGAGTGCAATAATCCAAGGACGCGAGTGCAACGGCAGAGCGCTCAAAACCTCCACACTGGTCCTTCGAGCCGGATTCAGCGAAAATCCAGCAGTAACACAGAAGTCCAGCTGATCAGCCCACGAGTCATCGGGAACGAGATCCAGTAGCAGCGGTTGCTGAGACCAGTGATTGATTGGCAATCACCCAGCAACCCCGGATCATCCCTGATAGAAGCTCGTAGCAGCCTCCGCAGTGCAGACGCATCAAAGGTGCCTGAGCAGAGACGCAGAGCATCGCAGCACGCTTCGAGGACGCCACTGGACCACGACAGATCAGGCAGCATCGTCACGCAGCATCCTCTCCAAGTAGTAAGTCCCTCCTTTATTCTATTTGCGTCAAATAAGTGCAACATGAACGGCGAATAGAAAGCCCTCATTGCCGATCGCGGTTCGATTAAAGCAGCGCTAACTCGCTTTAGGAATTTTTTCAATCAATCGGGTCACTCGGTGTCGGTAGGCGCGTTAAAAAAGAGATTAGAAGCAAACACAGGTCTATACGATAGGTTCGATACCGTGCAGACAAGAATAGAACGCATTATCGAAGGTACGGATGGGAGCATTTTGAGGATGTATATTTCCAATTAATTAGTGAAGTCGGGTCATACATTGAAGGTGCGCAGCCCCCGCAGCGAGGCACGGTAGCAGGTAGCTCGGCAATGGTAACGGGATTATCGCCCGCATTTAGCAATACCCCGATTTGATCTGCCAGTTATTCAATTACCATCTTTCGACGGCAATTATAATGATTGGATTAGGTTTCGTGATACCTTCTTGTCATTGATACACAATAACGAACAATTAGAAGACGTTCAAAAATTCCACTACCTGCAATCCTCGCTAAAGGGACCTGCGGCTCGTATAGTACAATCCATCGGCATCTCCAAAAGCAATTACCGTACAGCATGGGACGCTGTCAAGGCCAGGTATGAAAATTCAGCCGCGCTTAAACGTCACCACGTGCACACGTTATTAGATTTACCGGCGATGCAAAAACAGTCGCCTATCACGATCAGGGAAATATTAGATGATGCAAGCAATCACCTCCACGCGTTGAAAGCATTAGGATTGGGCATAGAGACTTGGGACCCCTTGATTGTTCCCATTTTGTCCAGAAAGCTGGACCCAGTCAGCGTTAGGGAATGGGAGCGGCGAAATGCTCCCTCCACCACGGAATCCCCAACACTTCGTCAATTTACGGCATTCTTAGAGGAACGGGCGCACTATTTAGAAAATATTACGTCACTTTCACCGGTAGGGGCAGTAAAGCCCGAGCTAGTAACAGTCCCAGGAAGTCGGAGATTACCGCGTGTAGCCGCTCACGTGGCTAGCGCGTGCGAGGCATGCCCGGTGTGTCAGGCTGCGCACGCGATAGCACAATGCAGCAAATTCAAAGACGCGTCGTTAGAAGGACGTGTAAAAATCGTACAGGATATTCGGGCATGTTACAACTGCCTCCAGACAGGTCATAGAGTGCAAAATTGCACCCGCAACCATTGTAGGCTCTGCGGGAAGAAACATCACTCTTTACTGCATCGAGAGAATAGCTATAAGACCAAGGAGGCAGTTGGAACGTGTGATGGCGAGTCACAAAATACGGTGGCTTGCATCGCCAAGGACGCCAGCAGCACTCCGAACCAAGTGGTATTGTCTACCGCAGTAGTATTTATAGAGGACCGCGAGGGAAGGAAAAGAGAATGCCGTGCTCTACTAGATTTGGGATCACAGGCCAACCTCATCACAACAGAGTGTTGCGATAGGCTGGGGCTGGACCGTTCACGGGCAAATGCGCGAATAGCGGGAATAGCCGCAATCAACAGCAAAGTTGAAGGAAAGGTCGATATAGAAATCCATTCGCGAATAAGAGGCTTCGGTGCTCGCGTCGCATGTTTAATAATGAGTAATATCACGGAAGAGCTACCGAACATTCCTATACAAAGATCCGCGATATCAATACCTCCTAATATCAAATTGGCCGACACTCGGTTTCACAAGCGCGGAAGGATCGACCTTCTTATCGGAGCAGAACTCTTCTGGCGGTTACTATGCGTCGGGCAACATTCAGTAAATCGCCATCTGATATGGCAGAAAACGCAGCTAGGTTGGGTGCTAGGCGGAAGGCTCGATTCGGGTATTCGAAACGAAAGCCAGGTAGGCAAGTGCCACGTAGTTACGAACGGGCAATTACATGAGCAGCTAGAAAGGTTCTGGCAGGTAGAAGAGGGCATCACAAACGGTGACGCGATCGACGAATGTGAATCGCACTTCGTCATGAACGTCAAACGTAACCCCGATGGTCGCTACACGGTCAGAATACCATTCAATGAATGCCAATCAAGGCTTTAGGGAACTCGCGCGGGCAGGCAGAAATTAGATTCAAATCTCTAGAGCGAAAATTAGCCAGGCAGCCTGAGCTCCGGGCTCAGTATATAGAATTCATGCGCGAGTATGAGCAATTAGGCCACATGTCGCGCATTTCGGAAACTAAGGAGGCTCAAAGTGAGTCTTATTATTTACCTCACCACGCCGTCTCCAAGCAAACAAGTACCACCACGAAATTACGGGTGGTATTCGATGGTTCGGCAAAAACAAGCACGGGTATATCTTTGAATGATAGTCAAAAGGTAGGCCCAACAGTTCAGAGTGACCTCACGTCAATTTTGATTAGATTCAGAACACACCGCTACGTTCTGTCCGCTGACATAGCCAAAATGTATCGGCAGGTATTAGTAGATTCTCGCGATATACCGTTTCAGCGAATTCTGTGGCGGACAGATCCGCGATCACCAATAGATTGCTATGAGCTGAACACCGTCACTTACGGTACAGCGTCAGCCTCGTGCCAGCAGCACTGCGAACCAAGTGGTATTGTCCACCGCAGTAGTATTTATAGAGGACCGCGAGGGAAGAAAAAGAGAATGCCGTGCCCTACTAGATTCGGAATCACAGGCCAACCTCATCACAACAGAGTGTTGCGATACGCTGGGGCTGGACCGTTCACGGACAAATGCGCGAATAGCGGGAATAGCCGCAATCAAGAGCAAAGTTGAAGGAAAAGTCGATATAGAAATCCATTCGCGAATAGAAGGCTTCGGTGCTCGCGTCGCATGTTTAATAATGAGTAATATCACGGAAGAACTACCGAACATTCCTATACAAAGATCCGCGATATCAATACCTCCTAATATCAAATTGGCCGACACTCGGTTTCACAAGCGCGGAAGGATCGACCTTCTTATCGGAGCAGAACTCTTCTGGCGGTTACTATGCGTCGGGCAACATTCAGTAAATCGCCATCTGATATGGCAGAAAACGCAGCTAGGTTGGGTGCTAGGCGGAAGGCTCGATTCGGGTATTCAAAACGAAAGCCAGGTAGGCAAGTGCCACGTAGTTACGAACGGACAATTACATGAGCAGCTAGAAAGGTTCTGGCAGGTAGAAGAGGGCATCACAAACGGTGACGCGATCGACGAATGTGAATCGCACTTCGTCATGAACGTCAAACGTAACCCCGATGGTCGCTACACGGTCAGAATACCATTCAATGACCAAATCAAGGCTTTAGAGAACTCGCGCGGGCAGGCAGAAATTAGATTCAAATCTCTAGAGCCAGGCAGCCTGAGCTCCGGGCTCAGTATATAGAATTCATGCGCGAGTATGAGCAATTAGGCCACATGTCGCGCATTTCGGAAACTAAGGAGGCTCAAAGTGAGTCTTATTATTTACCTCACCACGCCGTCTCCAAGCAAACAAGTACCACCACGAAATTACGGGTGGTATTCGATGGTTCGGCAAAAACAAGCACGGGTATATCTTTGAATGATAGTCAAAAGGTAGGCCCAACAGTTCAGAGTGACCTCACGTCAATTTTGATTAGATTCAGAACACACCGCTACGTTCTGTCCGCTGACATAGCCAAAATGTATCGGCAGGTATTAGTAGATTCTCGCGATATACCGTTTCAGCGAATTCTGTGGCGGACAGATCCGCGATCACCAATAGATTGCTATGAGCTGAACACCGTCACTTACGGTACAGCGTCAACCTCGTTCTTGGCAACGCGCGTGCTCAAACAAGTGGGCTTAGAGTGCCGGTCAGAGTTCCCGCGTACTAGTAGGATAATCATAAACAATTTCTATGTTGATGATTTGCTAACCGGGACAGAAACGATTGAGAACGCGAAGGAGATCAGGGAGGAAATCTCTAAGATATTGGTAGCCTCCGGTTTTGAATTACGCAAATGGGCGAGCAACTGCTTGAAGATCGCGGACGCAGATAGTGATAGGCAATTTAATATAGACAAAGATCCGAAAACTCTCGGTTTGAAATGGTCGCCGGCGGAAGACCAGCTCAGCTACAACGTGCGACCATCGGTTAATAAACGTTACACCAAACGGACGGTATTGTCGGAGATTGCCGAGATCTACGATCCGTTAGGTTTAATCGGACCAATAATAATTCGAGCGAAATTGATGATGCAAGATCTCTGGCAATTAAGGGTAGGTTGGGATGAATCCCTCCCACAGGGACTGCACACGAAATGGACCGCCTATCGTGATGCGTTAGAACGATTGCCAGATATCAAAATTCCGCGATGTGCAAAAATTAGCGAGACAGAGAGTATAGATCTTCACGGGTTTGCGGACGCTTCGGAAGAGGCATACGGGGCCTGCGTATACCTGCGAACCCAAAACACAGCAGGGGTGCGCCAAGTCAGGCTACTGTGCTCTAAGTCGCGAGTCGCTCCTTTGAAATCTCTATCCCTTCCTCGCTTAGAGCTATGTAGTGCATTATTGTTAGCGCGACTAGTGCAAGGGGTCAAGACAGCTTTGAATTTGATATGCGAAAATGAGTATTATTGGTCCGATTCAAGAGTTGCACTCGCCTGGATTCAGGGTCCGCCAAATAGATGGCAAACTTTCGTCGCGAACAGGGTGTCGGAGATCCAGACATTATGCAAAGATCACCAGTGGAGGCACGTACCCTCGGGCGACAATCCCGCGGACATACTCTCGCGTGGAACCAGTCCAAGCTCGCTACGGATCAACTGACTATGGTGGTCAGGACCATCCTGGTTGTCAAAGGGTGAACGTGCCTGGCCATCAATCGAGACAAGCGTTATAGAGGTGCCCGAAGAGAAGCAAAAACAGCATCTGTTTGTAGCAACGGTAGGGGAAGAATTCGTGCTCTTCCGCAGAATCTCCGAGTACACGCGACTGTTACGGGTAACAGCTTATTGCTTAAGATTCACGAAAAACGCGAAGCTTAAGAACAGTGCTACCGGTGAAGAAGGCAAGACAGTATTAATTAGCGTCAACGAGATGCTCCGAGCCCGCGATAGATTAATATGGTTAGCGCAGCGCGAAGCCTATGCCGGTGAAATAGTTTCCCTAGAAAGGGAAGGGGGTGTGAGTGCGTCCAGTACTCTACGCGCGCTGGCACCCTTTTTGGACAAAGAGGGAATAATCAGGGTGGGCGGAAGATTAGGAAACGCCCCATTAGCCTTTAAAACACGGCATCAAGCTATCTTACCAACCAAACACCCGCTGACCGACCTCATAATCAGGCATGAGCATGTAAGGCTCTTGCTTGCAGGAGGTCAGCAGACATTAGCCTCATTAAGAGAACAATATTGGATCATAGCTGCAAGAAATAATGTGAAGAGGGTCATTAGGGGATGTCTCAGGTGCTTCCGAGCAAAGCCACGAGTTGCCGAATGCGTGATGGGACAGCTACCTGCGAGAGGGTAACACCCTCTCGCCCATTCACAACTTGCGGGGTTGACTATGCGGGCCCGTTTGCTACAAAAGGGCGTACGCCTAGCAAGGTCACAGTCAAGGCTTATATTTGTATTTTTATATGTTTCGCCACAAAGGCCGTTCATATCGAGTTGGCCACGGACCTGAGCACTGAGGCATTCCTTAATTGCCTTAGAAGGTTTACAGCGCGAAGAGGTCGATGTCGTTGCATCATTTCCGACAATGCAACCAATTTTGTAGGAGCAAAAAACGAGCTCAAACAATTAAGCGAGCGGCTGAATTCTCAGCATCATAAAAAACGAGTGACTGAATTTCTAACAAAGCAAGGAATAGATTGGAAATTTATACCTCCTCGTGCTCCTCACTTCGGAGGACTATGGGAAAGCGCGGTAAGACTCGCGAAATATCACCTTAAGCGAGTTATCGGCGAGCAAAGGCTCACATATGAAGAATTATACACGTTGCTGACGCAAATAGAATCCTGTATGAATTCTCGTCCTCTCACTCCATTATCATCCGATCCCGCAGATTTCGATACCCTCACTCCCGGACATTTTTTGATTGGCAATCGACTGACCGCGTTACCAGATCATGACATTACTCAATTAAAGACAAGCCGACTAGGTCGGTATCAGTTAATTCAACAGATGCTACAGCATTTTTGGAGGCGTTGGCAAAGGGAATACCTCCACCAGCTTCAGCAGAGGCACAAATGGACACAATCCACATCGCCAAAGGTCACCGAAGGCGCTTTGGTCATCGTCAAGGAGGACAACCTGCCTCCCTTGCTTTGGTCTCTTGGCAGGTTCATACATCTGCATCCCGGCAAGGATGGAGTGGCTAGGGTCGCCACCATCAAAACAGCAGAGGCGGAGTACAAAAAACCAGTGACAAAATTGTGTCAGTTGCCGATCCTGGACAATGAAAGACACTAACCACGCTAAGTGAAATAGTTTTAGAAATAATCTAACCATGTACATTTCTACAATTAGTAATACTTGTAATTTATTTAAATATTCGTTATAAGTAATAATAGCGTTAGTTTCGAACGCGTAACACGCGTTCAAGGTGGGCGGGATGTCTGCGCGGCGGTTTATGGCACGGACATGCCGAAACGGTTATTTTTGAGAAGGGGACTTTGATAATTGGCAGCATGTAATTTTAGTAAAAATTACGTCCCGGCGACAGAAAGTGGGGTTTACAACCCTCTGGCCTCTAAGGCGCTTTCCCTCGTCCTCAATAACCTAGCCCTGCCATAAAAATGGGTCTCCCGGAGGGGCGAGTCACGAGTCAGCGTGTAACGGTCAAGGGACCGAGGTGACGAACTCGGAGGAATTCCCGCGCTGTTGCCAGACACTCGTCAATTTGACAAAGGACATCGCCACCCCCTCTCTAAGGAAACGCGCGTTAAGGGCGCAAGAGAAGAGTGTCGCGATGCATCTTCTACACGCCGATTGGTGTTTTCGAGAAGCAGGAAAACAGCCAATCGGAAGAAATTAGTATTAGCAGCGGCAAGTCGACGAGCGTCATCGATTTGCGAAGTCAGTTATATCTAAGCAACGATAGAGCGAAGTCCTAACTCTGCAAGCCCAGCAAACAGGCTTGGCCCACAGAAACAATACAGTCTCAGAAAAGTAGAAAATCTTCTGGGTGGTCCTTCGAGTTATTGTAGACGGCACATTAGAGTGCAATAATCCAAGAACGCGAGTGCAACGGCAGAGCGCTCAAAACCTCCACAGTAATCTTATTATAAATTCATTGAATATTATTAGAATATAGTTATTATAGAATTGCTCAGCCTATATTCAATTAACCATCTCCTTGTAACATTGGTAAGGAAATAGTTAAACTCACAAAGGATATATCTTAACCGCTCAAGGTGTATCCGACATTACGATACGTACTGTCCTCACAACCACCAAACCTTGTCCATCCTTCGGAGAACGGCGTATTAACCACATACGCCGACAGTTCCAATCCTGTCGGATTTGTTGTCAACCACGTATCACCCTCATACGGTGAACATTTTGACCGATCCACAAACCCAAACCAATATTACACTCCGTGTGAGGACACAACAAGAGTAACTCGTAACAATCCTAAGGACTTGAACCCTTTGTCCCCTGGACACTTCATTATGTGGGATTCGACAAGTTTCGGCAACAGGTCGAGACGCGTTCTGCTGCGCGTGGAGAGACAGCGACCGATAACCGAGAAGTCACGCGTACGCATTTGTTCGATCGCGCGCGTGTATGAGCCTCTGTTCTCCGTATGGGCTGTACGCGCGCTCTGATTGGACAGTGTTTTTCGTTAATAATTCAAAAATGAAGTTTCAAACAACATTTTGTAAAGGAAAAAGTTGTTCAGAGTCACCCCAGCAACCCACCATTTCCGGGTGTTCGAGGAATTACGGGACACCCTGTATATTTCTTGCGTTAGCTTTCTATTCATCCTCTACAGAATCTTCATGCGTGATTTCTTTGTTTCGTCGAACTTCTCGTATTATATCCATGCTAACTGTTTGTTATTGTAAGATCTGAGAAGGCAGCACGCCTGCATCAGAATAAGTTCTTCAGTCAGTGAAAATCTGTCCAGAGTCAGAGTAAGAAGTGAAAATGAATGTGCAAGCATCTAGTTCGTCGGTTAATATTTGTGTCACGAGCAATACTGCGTTTACAATTAATAGTAATTCTAATGAAAAGCAACAATTAAGGGATGTCTTATCATATGTAGAAGACTATTTTCGTAAAGCTAATTTAATCGCTAATGAAGTGTCCACGATAATTTCCTATGCGGCCATAGCAATTGGTACAAAAATTATCGAAAATATCATTGACATGCTTACTGAATATGAAGTACTGCAAAAGGAATGTCTCATTGATATTGACGAGTCCGACAATGGAAATGTATACCAAGAAACCACGCGTGACGATTCTCCGGAAGAAGAGTGGTACGAGCCCAAAGAAAGAAGACACCATTCGGTTAATATTCCGTTAGAAAATAAAATTATAGCAGTCACACTGGCACGTCAGAATCCTTCGTGGAGCTTACAGATATTACGTGCCAACGGCAGCAAATTTTTTAAAAGAAAGGATGATATTAGGTTGCTGCGTAAATTCTGTCCGCTTGTTAATGCCCGTAGTTGTTACAAATAAACTTTCGAGCATTGTAGTATTTGCACGATGTTGTGCCGTCTAGACACTGTTCGAAAGACCACCCAATGTGATTGGGACTTGCAAATTGTTCTATTTCTACCGCGTAATATTACAATAAATGTGAGCTGGTTGCTCCTTAGTTCTCCTGGTTCGTGGTTGTTGAACGACTGACTCTCCAACGTCGCGTCTCGGACGTCCGTGGGGGGGATTTTTGTTAGGACATGCTGATTGATTAATGGTTAACAATTGCATTTGCCAATCAGCGTGTATAATATCGTCTTTACCGCCCTTCCAATGCGCCCTTAGCGCGCTGTCACCTTGGAAGGGTGGGAGACGGTCGCGAGGAGTGGCCGGAAAGTCCCAAACATCTGGAATTTCCTCCGGGTGACTAATAGGCAAGCGGACCGTCACATACAGATTTGCCGTTCGGAAATTCGTGGTTTATGGTATGTTCATAAGCTATTGAGCGCGAGGGACACAAATAACTAAAAATCTAGCAAAGCAATTCTAGTGACCCTCGCAGGATGTAATTAGACACGTGCAAACAGTAAACGAAAATCCTGAACTCAAAAATAACCGTTCCCGTTTGATCGTGTCATAAACCGCTTCTACAGAAAACCTAGCACCGCTTTTTCATTTCTATTATATAAACACTCTGCTCGTGTTATCGCTTTGACGAATCCGTCAATGTAAACAGTCATTCCAGAGCCTAAAAGAAGTTGCAACGAGTAGTGTTTAATCCTCGACAGGTATGCCGGCCGCCCGACCCTTAGATTTCTTAGCATGTAGTTCTATTGTGTATATTTTTTCGCCTTCGTCCGTTTCGTAGCAGCGGTAATTTTATGACGCCACGGCAATCGTAGTCTTTCAATCTAAGAACTTGCTTTCACCTTTATTGCCTTGTTTTCAACTTAGAATCTTCGCCTATTTAACTTGTACATTTTTTGCATTCATATGGTCATCAGAGCCGAAGCACGTCTTAATGTTATTGTCTGCTACGGTCCATTGTTCGAGGCACTCGGAATTCCCGAGTGCGTCACTCAAGGGTACGCTTGGTACCTGAGAGTGACCTATGGTCTGGGGGTTGGCATTTTCGTGTAGTTTTCCCACCTATGATTTTAACCAATAGTTTTTGCCAACCACCCTTCCCCACCACTATCGAAAAATGTATTCAACCTATCCGAGGGCCTCACCCCCGCGGTGCATCATCGCACGGAGGTGTCGTGGGACCTTTTGCGGAAAGGACAAACAGAAGTCATCTGACCACGCCACGAGTTGCTCTTAGGAAGTTTAGTCAATAGCAATAGTTGTTTTGTCCTCCTAATCACGGAGGTGGTCCTTCGAAAACGAACCTATTAGACTTAATCGGCACACCACATGCTAAAATCGACAAAGCTCGAAAGTTGGTTGCAACTACCACGAGTGCATCCTAACAAGTAGAAAGAGTACAACAACAACTGCAAAATAAGAGACCATCACTTGTTAATTGAACGAGAATGCAAGACCACGAGAATGCAAGACCACACGTGGCGACGGCAACACAAAAAAAAATTTCGGACTTGAAATAGGAACTTATTCCACACCCACCATATTCCCCAGATCTGGCACCAACAGATTTTCATCTTTTCTGGGATGCACTACAAAATAATTTGAATGGAAAAAACTTTAAAACTTTCAAGGACATAAAAAGTGCAATAAACAGTTTTTTTAGTGATAAATCCCAAGATTTTTATAAAAGAGACATAATGCAACTTCCACAGAGATGGGAAAAAGTTATAAATAATGATGGGAAATACATAGTTTGAGGTAAGTACAAACTGTATACGAAAGTCGTATTTGTAGAAGACGTACTCTAGCGGACAGATCTTATGTAGCAACCTAATATATTACGCTGGAAGAAACAAATCATCAATGGAGGGACGATATTTGATAAGTACAATGCAATTAACCAATGGACCGTCAAAATTTGCAGCAAGTCACTACCCGTCAATTGCAACAATGGTAACCAATATCAATCAGACGATTTTAAATTTAAAGCTTCCACTCGGTGGGTATCATATTTTAAAAATAATCATCGAATTCAGCAAAGGAAAATAACCAATTACGTGTCAGCTAAAGAAATCGAAAGCTTAAATGATATAATAGAAGCTGCCGAAAACTTTCATAAAATTATCAAATATATTACACCGCAATTTAATACAAAATACATAACCAACACGGATCAAACTGGATGTCAATACCAATCAACATTCGGCAGGACACTAGCTGTAAAAGGAGAGAAAGCAGTTCTTGTTAATAGAAAAAACTTATCGAAAACAACTCACTCATACACTGCTCAATATACCACGACAATGTCCGGAAAATTACTACTATTTCTATGTATGCAGGAACCCTCAAGGAAAGTCGGATCACATATATTTAAAAAAGTAGGCGAACTAACGAGGAATTATAAAAATGTAGTATCGTGCTCGAAATCTAGAAAATTAACCCAAGATATATATAAAACGTTTTTAAAATCAGTGTTGCAACCTTACGTAAACGACGAAAAATTTCTTTTATTAGTTGACTCATGGGGAGGTCAAACAAATCTACAAATATACGATGACTTATTTGTAAGCGACAAGGGAGACTACACGTGTACCATCAAAATTATTCTGCCCAAATGTACAGCATTGGTTCAACCACGCGATGTTTATTTTTACCAACAAATCAAAAATTTTCTAAAAAGGATACAGAATTGCACTTACTTGATAGAACACGGAAGAGAAATTGCAACCAGG